AGAATCCTATGCACTGCTACAGACTAGGGACCGAGTGGCTAGGTAGCAGTTCTGCAGAAAAGGACCTAGGGGTCACAGTGGACGAGAAGCTGGATATGAGTCAACAGTGTGCTCTTGTTGCCAAGAAGGCTAACGGCATTTTGGGCTGTATAAGTAGGGGCATTGCCAGCAGATCGAGGGACGTGATCGTTCCCCTTTATTCGACATTGGTGAGGGCTCATCTGGAGTACTGTGTCCAGTTTTGGGCCCCACACTACAGGAAGGATGTGGAAAAATTGGAAAGAGTCCAGCGGAGGGCAACAAAAATGATTAGGGGTCTGGAGCGCATGACTTATGAGGAGAGGCTGAGGGAACTGGGATTGTTTAGTCTCCAGAAGAGAAGAATGAGGGGGGATTTGATAGCAACCTTCAACTACCTGAAGGGGGGTTCCAAAGAGGATGGAACTCGGCGGTTCTCAATGGTGGCAGATGACAGAACAAGGAGCAATGGTCTCAAGTTGCAGTGGGGGAGGTCTAGGTTGGATATTAGGAAACACTATTTCACTAGGAGGGTGGTGAAGCACTGGAATGCGTTACCTAGGGAGGTGGTGGAGTCTCCTTCCTTGGAGGTTTTTAAGGCCCGGCTTGACAAAGCCCTGGCTGGGATGATTTAGTTGGGAATTGGTCCTGCTTTGAGCAGGGGGTTGGACTAGATGACCTCCTGAGGTCCCTTCCAACCCTGATATTCTATGATTCTATGATATTCTATGATTCTATGATTTATATAGGTATCTGGACTGGTGCATTTTTGTGGTTGTGCTCTATGGATTTGTATTTGGGCTTCAGGAGTGGTCTTTAATGGACCCATTGCAGATGTGATAATGTGTGGTCCTAATTCCACACATAAAATTACAATAACTTTAGTAAACAAAAAACATGGAGCTGGTTAAGAAAAATGGGAAGAGAGGAGGGAATGAATCATGAAAACCTTTGTGAAATTTCATTTTTTTAAAAATTACCCTTTTTGATTATTTTGCTGCCAGCTCTAGCATCCTGTAACAAATAAAACCTGAACTTAGCATAACACATCTGTCAAAACAATAACTATGCCTGTTTGGGCCTTGCAGTGACAATGAGCAGGTGAGAGAGGGTGGGGGAGAGCATGCGATGGAGGGAGGGGGGATGGAGTGAGCAGGGGCGGGGCCTCAGGGAAGGGCGGGGGAAAGGGTGTTCCGTTTTCTGGCATTAGAAGGCTGGCAATCCTAGAGCAGGAGGGAAGCTGCCCAGCTCTCCAGGGCGGCAACTGGCCTCTACCTGCCCAGCTTTCTTGTCAATTTCACAGCTTCTGCCGTAGACACTGAGGCCTTGTCTACACTACAGAATTATGTCACCAAAAATTATGACACTTTAATTAAAGCGCTGTTGTATGTCCACACTATGCTCCTTGTGTCGGCAGAGTGCACCACACCAGCAACTCTTGCATTGACACAGAGTGCAGTGCACTATAGATAGCTATCCCACTGTGCAACTGGCTGCAAGATGCTTTGGGAAGGATTTGCAATGCCTCATGGGGCAGGCACAGCCTCACATGATGCAGATTTCTCAATCCCATTGTTCCATGGGCATCCTACTAGATTACCAGACACTTTTCAACTGAAGGGGGGCGGGGGCGAGTGTGTGACAGGGAGCGTGCGTATGTGTCTGAGGGAGAGACAGAGTGTGTGTCAGGGCGAGTGTGTGTGAGAGTGAGGGGAGTGAGTGTGTAGGCACCATGTCTCTAAGTTCAGACAGTCGCCCAAAGCAACCAGTCCTGAGGCAGGGGGAGGGGGATATCCCCGACACCAGCCCCCACCTCCCTCTCTGGCTCTGCATAGCACAGCAGTCTCTCTCTCTCTCTCACTCACACACACACATATCCACCCCTGCCTACTTGCCTCTGTGTTCCTAGTGTGGGAGAGAGCAGCATTCCACATGAATGATTTGCTCTTTGTTGCCAGAGGTGAGCAGCACGGTCAGCTGCCAGAACTTCACTGAGCTTTGGAAGGGAAGGGGGGCATGCTTGTGTAACAGGAATGCAGGGCAGCCGTTCAAAACAGTGCGCAGAGCAGTCATGGCGGGCATTGTGGGAGGCCAGTGATGGCGATGTAATGAACAGCAGTGTCTACACTGACACTTTGTCACTTTAAGTTTGCTGCAAAAACCCCTGTGCCTCTCATCGAGGTGGTTATATTTTGTTGCCAAAACTGAAGAGTTTTGTCACCAAAAGTGTCGTTGCAGTGTGTACACCTCCACTGTTTCGTTGCCAAAAGCTGCCTTTTGGTGACAAAACTCTGCAATGTAGACAAGATCTGACATAATTAGGTCGACATAAGGCAGCTTATGTCGACCTACCTGTGTCGTGTAGACCAGCCCTCAGTTGCTATAGGAATTGGTACTTTTCTTTTGAGCTACACAATAGCTTAACGTTCTTGTCGTTTGCTTTACTGTGGCTGTGCTGAGCCTGTGCCTCACTTATTCTTTTTTGTTACATATTCCTCAGCATCTGAATTTCCCTTATTTTCCATCCTAGTTAATTTTTAATCTAATCCATCCTAGGACATTGAAGGGTGAGAAAAGAAAAGCAACTGTAAGGGGACTGTTGCCCCCTTACTAACATTCAGTGGGGGTGTTTTGGTTGGCTGCTCCCAGCACTAAAAGGGGAAGGGGGGATGGGAAATCAGGACCCTGAGACTGACAGTCCACAGGAACAATGGCGAGAGGCCAATGCTCCAGATCAGCCTGATTGACAGGGCGGGCAGGCTAATCAGCATAACAGGAGGCCAGGGGGGGTCCCGTCCTCCTTGTGAACTGGAATGGCCTGAGTCAGACAGAGTGGGGCCGAGCTAAGCTGCTGGAAGCAGAGCTGCAGCCCCAAAGCCAGAGCACAGCCCAGAGAGAGCCGACCTGCAGCAACCAGAGCCAGAGGGGCCAGACAAGCAGCCGGGAAGCAGGTCAGAGCTGGGAGCAGAGTCACAGAAGCAGCCTGCAGAGCCGACCTGTCCTGGGGGCAGAGCTGCAGCAACCAAAGCCAGAGGGGCCAGAGAAGCAGCCCAGGGAGCTGGAGGCAGAGCAGCAGCAGCAGCCGTGCTGAGGCAGAGTGGGGCTGGAGCTGGAGCTGTCCGGAGCTGGGTGCGGTGAGCACCTGAGGAGAGGAGGGGGACCCTGAGCAGCAGGCCCAGCGCAGGGAGACACCTCAGCCAAGAGGCTCTGCAGGCCAGACTCGGAGGGGATCATATCCCCGACCGGGCGGGGGCAACGCTGGGAAAAAGGGTCCTGCCACCTAGAGCCTGAGAGCGTGTGGCCACCGCCAGAGCAAGTGTGCGACCCGCAGCGTCTCTGCAGCACAGCCAGGGCCTGAGAAGGAGCCTGGGACCTACAAGGAACAGCCTGTGACCTGCCCTGACGTTCCAGAGACACTGTTTGTGATGTTCCCAGCCACAGAGCAGGGTGATGTGTTTTCCTTCAACCTTTCTCATTTTTCCTTATTCTTTTTTAAAATTAATTGTTAATTAAAGAACTTGTATTTGCTTTAAATTGTATGAAATGATCAGTGGGTCAGGGAGGTGCCCAGTGCAAAGAGAGTACCCCAGAGTAGGGACACGCTAGCCCCTGTCCTGGGTGACCACAGCAGGGTTGGGGGTCGAGACCCCCAGGAATCCTGGGCCCAGCCTTGTCGGGGTTTACGAGGACTCTGCCAGACAGGAGAGTGGAAGGGGAGCCCTCGAGGGCAGGGAGGCCTCTGGGTAAGGGAAGTGGGAGCAAGGACTCGGATCCTTTCGCTAGCCCACTTCACCGGGGTAGTACAGAAGCCAGGAAAGTTTCCCACGATAGCGGGACCATTCCCCCGCTTACATAATGTACAAAGAGGAAGGATTGTTTGTGGCTAAAGTGTTAGACTGGGTGGGATAGAATGCTAGCTCTAGCACCTTCCTCATTTAGGTAACTGCATACCAGAAGATTACAAACTTGATCAGAAGCAATTAACCTCTTATGGTGAGATTGACGCTTGGGGCAGCAATGACTGGGCTAATGAGGTAATTAGCTCAATAAGGGAAGATATATAGCTGGCAGGAACAGGCAGTAAGGGGGAAGTTCAGAGTGAGCTGAATGGAAGGGCTCCCCTGACATATGCCTGTATTATGTTCAGTAATGTTGGGAATCTAAAGATACATGGTGGGAGGGATGGACTGTGTATGTATTGTAAGAGACAACCCAAATGGGCCAGGCCATGCAGCACATCAGGTAGCTAAGGGAGTGCTGTGTGGGTCTGGGACTTGGAAAATCTGGATTAAATTTCCAGTTCTGCTGCTGACTCCCTGTGATCTTGAGAAGTCACTTCAGGCCAGATATTCAGGTGTATAAAAAGCTGATAGGTGCCTAATGAGAATTTTTTCTAAAGCAATAAAATGAGCTAGATGCCTTCATCCCATTTAAATCAATAGGATTAGACCCCTACCTTCCTCAGATGTTTCTGAAATTCCCACTAGGCACCAATCTGCAATGTTAAGTGCCCAAATAACTTTGAAAATCTGGGTCTTCATCTCTCTGTCCTTCAGGTATAAAATGGGGATAGTAATCCTTGTTTTGTCTAGAATTTTTTTCTCTTATGTGCATGTACAGCCCCAGCACAAAGGGGTCCTGCTCCCAGTTGGGGTATGGTAGCACTATTATAATAATAAAACTGTTAAAAGTAGTTCAAGAATTGGTATATTCAGTGCCAGAGAGAACCATGAAACTCCCCAAGGTACACTGCTGCATCAGAAAAGGGGATTTTGGGGGAGGGGTGTGGTAAATAACCTACGTGGTATCTTTCCTTTGAAAGAATACAAGCGTTTAAAGCCTACCCACCACAGAGCGTCAATAGAGATCCACTAAGTTTTTCTCTTTGTAATTAGTTTGGTTTCAAGAATTACTGTGCACCCTTAGAGAACTTCTGGGACATTGATTTAAAGATCAAAGGGACAATTCTGTGGGAGTTTTACCTGAGCGAGGAATGGAGAGATGCATTCCCTAGGGGATGGATGGGTCTGGAAGCAATGCTCCTGTGTTGTTGTTAAGGAGGCCTCAATGGCCACCGTTCTCTGATATGAAGAGATGCGGAGGATGATCTGAGGTCAGATGCACTCCCCTATACTAGCATTACCTGCTGGAGCATAAACAAAATTAGAGAATTAAAATTTAGCTTAAGTTTGGCTATAGAAACATGTACTATAAAGGAAGACCCAAACTAGACCGTAAAAAAGAGCTTTTCAAGAAGTGACTTATAAGGCCAGAAGGAATGAAGTGGGGAAAGTGTCTGGTTCAAAGAATAACTAACAAAATAAGGGGAAACTTCTAAAAAGGCAGCCTTGGACCAATAGGGGTGACTGCAGATGGGTTTAAATAAGACACAGTATCTATCTTCAAAGGAGCCGACATGGCCCTTCTCACCCCACATACCAGTGTTATCTCAAAAATTAGGAAAAACTGTTGGTCAGCAAGGAGGAGGGGAAGAGAGAGGGAGGAAAGGCCTTGGGGAGAAAGGAAGTTGTAAATCTTATCTGGATTCAGACTGGAAAAAAAGGATAACCTGTCTCAAACTGGTCTTTAGATGAAGCCAAACATTGGCAATGACATCACTTGTTTGTTAAAGGGTTCATGGTTAATACCTGCCTGACCACAATGAGGATTTTCACACACACACACACCCGCCCCGGGGGTTTAGCACATTTGTAAGTATCTTGATCCAAATGCTTATAAATGTCTTGTTACTGTTTGGATGTAGTAAATTGCTGCTTATTTAGTCTTTATAGACATGTTTAAATCTTAATGCCAATTGCTGTAATAAAGGAATTTATGGTTAAATTAGTGTTCTGGTAATATCCTGCATAAATAATAATTCCAACACCTTCCAATGAACCACACAGCAGAAATGGGGGTGAGTGGCCTCAGAAGAGAACATCATCAGGTCATTCTCCTTTATGGAGGAGCAATGCTAGGGGCATAGGATAACTAAGAACTCACCTATCTGGATTGGGGAAGCATGCACAACCAGACCATGCCATCAGGACACTGGCAGGCTAAATGCCAGCTCTAGCCCAGGCTGCAGTCATTAGCTAAGAATGGAAACACATAGGTGAACCGGTCTAGTTTCCAGCTATGTTAGTTTTGCTCAAAATAGGTATTAGTCATATAAGAGTGTATTGAGTGTTTAGACTCTATGAAACGTTTGTAAGTTGCTGCATGCATTCGTCCCACTTATAATGTCGCCATAGGCGTGCGCAGCCCATTTCATTAGGGTGTGCACCCAGGGAGCCCTGCCCTAGTCCCGCCCCCATCCACTCTCTCCTACTTCCCCCCTCAGAACCCCCAACCTCCCCTGCTCCTTGTCCCCTGACTACCCCCTCCTGGGACCCCTGCCCCTAACTGCCCCCCAGGACTCCACCCCCTATTTAAACCTCCCTGCTCCTTGTCCCCTGACTGCCCCCCAAGGACCCTACTCCCTACCTGTCCCCTGACTGCCCCGACCCTTATCCACACCCTCTCCCCCAGACAGACCCCCAGGACTCCCACGCCTATCCAACTGCTCCCCACCCCCTGACAGGACCCCCAGAACTCCCAACTCCTACAAGCCCCCCCTGCTCCCTGCCTGCCCCAACCCCTTTCCACACCCCTGCCTCCTGACAGCCCCCCCCAGAACTCCTGACTCATCCAATCCCCCCCAGCTCCTTGTCCCCTGACCACCCCCTCCAGAGTTCCCCCCACTAACTCCCCCCCCAGGACCCTCCTTGCTCCCTGTCCCCTGACTGCCCTGACCCCTATCCACCTCCCGCCCCCTGAGAGACCCTGGGACTCCCATGCCCCATCCAACCCCCCCTGCTCCCTAACCACCCCTCCCCGGATCTCACCCCTTATCCAACCCCCCTGGCCCCAGACCCCTTACCATGAGATGAGGCTCCTAGCCTCCCCGCGGAGCCAAACACTGCCCCGTAGGAGCGTGCAGCCCCGGCCCCCAGAGCACTGCGCGCAGTGGCATGGCTCCAGGGGAGGGGGGAGCGTGTCTGACGCCCCGGTCCCCAGAGCGCTGCGCACGCAGCGGCATGGCTCCAGGGGAGGGGGGAGCGTGTCTGCTTCACCGCGGAGCTAAACGCTGCCCTGTGGGAGCGTGGAGCCCCGGCCCCCAGAGCACTGCGCGCGCGGCAGCATGACTCCAGAAGAGGGGGGGAGGCGGGGGAGGGGCCGGCGGCTTGCTGCGCTCGGCCGGGCGCTCCGGCCGAGGAGTGTGGACCCTGCGGCTTGCCGCGTCAGGGAGTGGAGCCATTTGCCCACCCCTGCATTAGGGTGTACCTGGGCACACCCGGCACACCCCGTGTGCACGCCTATGAATGTCGCTATTCCATGCTATAAGAAAATATGGTTTTTGCTTTATAACTTTGAAAACATTTGCTCTGAACTTATGAACCCAGGTATGGGAATTATCCCCTCTGTCCATCCTGAAGGATCATCGAAATCAGATGGGCTATTGGGGAACACTGCAATACAAATGATTGGTTAATTGGCCTATCCCACCTTGGAAATGCTACCTGCCAGGATGCTCATCCTGGGGACTTGGAAGCTGAATGAAGAAAATAAAACAAAGTCACAGGAAAATATTCCATTTCTTCACCGTTTGAACTCACACAGGGCCAGAGCCACCAAACTGAAGACAGAGATCCTATGAGGTTGCCTCCTGGATCTTCCCTGTAAGACACTTTCAATTGACAGACCACGGCACTACAACTCTGTCACTCTGAAGATTTAGCTTGTACATATGTTTACTTGATTTAACCAGTAAATAACTTATTTATTTTTTCCTAGTCAATAAAAATTTAACGTTATTACAGAATTGGGTACAGGGGTTGTCTTTAGTGTAAGATCTAGAGTACCAATTGATCTGGGGTAAGTGAGTAGTCTGTTGGGACTGAAAGCAATCTGAATTCAGTGTGATTTTTGGTGTAACCATTTATCACTAAGTCCAGTTTGCCTGGGTGGCAAGATAGACTGGAGAGTCTAAGGAGACTGTCTGACTCCATGGTAAGACTGTTATAGTGATCCAGGAGTTCACATTTGTTACTGGCTTGGTAAAATCTAATCATAGAACATAATTGGGGGTATCTGCTGTTTTTTTAACAGTCTGCCCTGAGGTAGGCATTCACGGTCGTGAGCCACTAGAGACAGCATGAAACATCACACACACCCCTTGCAAACACCACCGAAAAGCACACTATGGCAGATGATCTACGGCTAAATGTTTGCTCCAGCTTTGTTGGAATCTTCCTCCCAGGCCATAGAGTGGTAGTTTTTTCACCTCAACTCCCACACTCCACTCTGCAGTGGGTTTGCAAAGGAGTGCATCTATAATCCCTGCCCAACTCTTTATCACTAGGGTGCTGGAGCCCCCACAGAGCACACATCCATGGTACACAGATGGCCTGCATGGCTCAGCATCTTGCCTTGCCCCAGTCCGTGTGCAATGGAACTTCACTGGCTTTGTTGCTGCTAGAGATCTGCAATGCCATGGATGGGGTGAGGAGATGGAAGAGGGTTGTGGGAGAAGGATTTACCCAAGTTAGTGCAAATTTGCTGCTGTCTTAGAAGCGTTCACTAACAGAGGTGCATGTTGCTGATTAGCATAGAGATAAAAGCTGCAAAACATGCTAGCAGACTCTGAACAAGACAGTTCCTGTTTAAATAAAAGCAGAACAGAAAGGTGTAGGGAGGAAGGATGGCTGTGGAAACCACAGGACAAAGATGCATTTTAGAGTGCAAAAAGCCGTTAACCTTTTTTTCACAGGACTAAAGGCAGCATGGTAAGGCTTTATTTTGTACACACATTCACATGCAATCTTCGTCAACTTAGGCCAAGTATAATCCGAGTTTTTGGACCAGTATAACTACTTGAGCTAAAAAGCAACAGAGGGTCCTGTGGCACCTTTAAGACTAACAGAAGTATACTTGAGCTAAGTGTCTGACTTTACAGTTGAGCAGCACAAACCGTGTGTGCACTCTGTTCATACTGGTATAAGGGTGCTTCCTATCAATATTGCATATTCTCCTTCTTGTACACAAATAAGCTTTATTGGTATAAGGCAGGGTTTCTCAGCCAGTGAGTCGGGACCCAAAATTGCATTGCCAGAATGTTTCAAAGGGTCACATAGCAACTGCTGTGGCTCCTCTCCCACAGGGCTGGCTGGGCTCGCTTCCCTACTCCAGGCACTGCAACCTCTGGGGTCTCAGTGCCACTCAGGTTTGGCCCAGCCATCATGGCCTGGGTAGGCCAAATTTAAGTGAACGGCACAACTCCACTCACACAAATTTGGTCCAGTCAGGGGGCAGGGCCAAACCTGAGCAGCAGTGCAACCCGAGGTTGCAACACCCGGAGCCGAGAGCCAAGCTCAGCCAGACCCACAGCACAGGAGCTGCAGGAGCCTCCACTGTGGGGTAAGTGCTGGGCAAGACCCCCTCCCAGGGGGGAAGGACATGACCAAAACGACCCCAGGGCCTCCACCCCCAAGCTATTTACTGGGACAGGCCATGAACATATACAAATGGGTCCTGAGCCCAAAAAGGCTGAGAACCACTGGTATAAGCAGGGCCAGCGCTTCCACTAGGCGACCCTAGGCGGTTGCCTAGGGCGGCAGGATTTGGGGGGCGGCATTCTGCCGTCCTCGGCGGAAATTCGGCGGCGGGGGGTCCTTCTGCTCCGGGTCTTCAGCGGAAATTCAGCGGCAGGTCCTTCACTTGCTCCGGGACCCGCCGCCAAAGTACCCTGAAGACGCGGGGCGGAAGGACCCCCGCCGCCGAATGCTCAGAGGAGGAGCGCTGCCGCCTAGGGCAGCAAAAACCCTGGCGCCACTCCTGGGTATAAGGCACCTTTATACTGGTATAACTGCATCCACATTAGAGGGGTTGAACCATTTTAAGTATACAGGTAACATTAAAGTGATACAACTTTTGTATGTAGACAAGGCCTTAGAGTTAAGGTTGTTCAAATGTATTTTCTGCCAATGCAGTGTCTGGAAATACTCAGTTAAGGCACCAAGAAGTGAACATCCAGACCAACCCAGGTTCAGGAAATGCATGAGTTTCTCCAGGGGTATTCCGTCACAGGGAAACCCCACCCACACA